TGGCTTCCGCCGGGCACAATTGGGACACGCGCGAACGTAACCGACGACATCTGTTGTCATGCTGTGCCAAAAGTAATCTCGCTGCAACGTCAATAGGGTCTTCTGCACCCCCAGATGTAAGAGCGTGTCGCAATGCAGAGACCTAATCAATTTGTACCTCAAGGATGTCGGTACAACCAGACGCCAGCGTTCCTGTAACCCTTCCCTCCACATCAGCAGACCATCGCGGAGAGCGGTTTCCGGCGTACCCCCCGAACCCGGTCCCCCACTCTCCTTCGCAGCCCGATTCCGTAAGGTCACCAATGAATCGTCCAGCATTTGTTCCCGAATCCACACAGCCCTTGGAAGATTCAAAATCCCATCAGCCGGTCCCGGCCCCATTGGAGCCTCAGGCACCTCGACCGCCAATGCAACAGGCTGAGGGGGATGCTGGATCGGCGCAAACCTATGCGTCCCGGACGAGTACGCGCAAGGGGATCGCTGCGGCAACCTAGAGAGCGCGTCCGCATTTGCGTGACGCACCCCCTTCCGATGGTGAATATGAAAGGAAAATTCTTGCAGCGTGTCCAACCACCGCGCCAGCTGGCCGGATGGTTGGTCCACCTTGAGAGCATACTGCAAGGCCGCATGATCCGTGCGCACAATAAACGAACGAACATAGAGATACGGTCGAAATTGGCGGAGAAAGTAAACAATAGCCAAAAGTTCTCGGCAAGTGACGCAGTAGCGGGTTTCTGCGGGAGACAAAACCCGGCTACCGTACGCCACCACGCGCTCCACACTGCCTTTGGACTGAGAAAACACGGCCCCAATGACCGTGTCACTCACGTCCATATCCAGAATGAAGGGGTGATCAAAATCTGGATAATTCAACGTCGGCGCCGTAGCCAACCGATCGCGCAGGCCTTGAAACGCCACCTCTTCTGGCGGTCCCCAAGCAAATTTCCGTCCTTTACCCGTAAGGAGGTGCAAGGGCCTCGCGATCGTCGCAAAATTTGGAACAAACCTACGATAATATGAGGCAAACCCCAAAAACCGACGCACATCCCCCACCGTGGCCGGGGTTGGCCAGTCACGGACGCACGCTGTCTTGTCCGGATCCGTGGCAACCCCGTCCTCACTAACGATATGTCTCAAATAGCGCACGAACCGTTGCAGTAGGTGACATTTATTAGGTTTGAATTTCAAATTAGCGGAACGCATCCTGGCGAACACCGCCTCCAACCTCAGTAAATGCTCGTCAAATGTGCGGCTGAAGACGATAATATCGTCTAAATATATCAGACATGTCTCCCACTGCAACCCTGTTAATACCAGTTCCATCAACCTCTGAAATGTGGCAGGGGCAGCATTCAACCCCATCGGAAGACAATTAAATTGAAATAACCCCTGCGGCATACGGAAAGCAGTCGTTTCCCGCGAGGACTCGTCAAGGGGAAGCTGCCAGAATCCCATAAGAGAGATCTAGCGTCGAAAAGAACTTCGCCCCCGATAAGGCATCGAGGGAGTCGTCCATACGCGGCAGGGGGTACGCATCTGCCACGGACACTTTATTCAATTTCCGAAAATCCACACAAAATCGCAATTTCCGTCTTTCTTTTTAACCAAAACAACAGGCGCGCCCCATGGGCTGTTAGATGGAGATATTATGTCCGCAGCCAACATGTCATCCACTGCCCCTCGAACATGATCTCGCTCCGCCGGACTCATCCGATGCGAGTTCAACCGAATAGGGGCAGCGTCCCCTGTGTCAATATGATGGGAAAGCAATGAGGTGCGTCCCAAGTCCAAATCGTCTGAGCTAAACACGTCAGAATAACTCAACAATAACTTACGAAGCGCGTAACGTTGGTCCCCGGAAAGGGAAGGATTTTCCCTGCACAATTCGGTGATCCAGCGATTATCTGCAGCCCCAGGGCCCGAAACACCTGCAACCATGACCTGGCTGCCCAGATAATCCTGGGCCGTAAACGCCGTAGTGGCATGTGCCACAACCGTACCAGCTGGCACACACACATTTTCGGTACTTCCATTAAGCACCTGCAAAAATGGCTGCTGGTCCGACCGGACAATAGTTTGCGCCCCGACGAGCGCCGATCCGCCCGTTATGGTGGCGGATGGCGACAACAAAACCCCAATTGCACCTTGACGACCAGTCACAGGTTTACGATATCACAAAGGGATAAGCATCTGTGAGCCAGGTGGAATGTCCACAGATACCTCGGACAGCGCCTGCACCAGAGCAGGTCGCCCCCAGGGCGACGGCAGAAATGTAATTTTACGACCCCCCGGTAATTCAATACAGTTTTCATTAATTCTAATTAGAATGGGCATTTTGGCCAGAAAATCAGTTCCCAACAAACAAGGAACCACAAGGGACCTCGAAATTAACACAATTCCCGAGGCCGACACTCCTCCGATAGATATATTGGCATCCACCTGGCCCACAATACCCATACTACCCCCGTTCGCCGCGACGCAGGAATCGTAAACCTGACGCACGGCCTCTGGTGGGATGCCCAACAGATGGAAAATTACATCCGATATAATGGTCGCGGACGCTCCGGAATCCACTAAAATACGCACGTCAACCCCCTGTATAGAACCAGGTACAGTGGACAAACCAGTAGCGGCCGCGATGACCTGCCGTGCCAATTTACGCCACTGCGTTACCGAGCGACACGGCCCAGTCGATGGCCTCTCGTTATTAACAACACCCGGATCGCGCGACAATGGTGATGAATGAGGTGTCAAGCCTTGCCGGGTGTCTGGTGCGCACCGACTTGCCTGTCCTGGAAGATCCTTCCGCGGCGCGTCCGCTGTCGAGGCCTCCTGCTGAGGCGGACCTGGGATACGGGCCCAGCAATCCCTGGCGTAATGGCCCTTACGACCGCAGCGTAAGCAGTTGATGTCGTTACGCCGCGCCGCAGGCCCCCCGTCCCGACGCTCCCGCGTCGGCGGTGCAGATCGCGGCCCCGGCCTACTGCGGGCCGACCACTGAGCAGAGGCGGCTGTCAGCTCCTGCGGGCCCCCCCCCCCCCCCCACCGTCAGGAACGTACACCGCCTTCTTGGGATCCCAACCCACGGCACCTCCCTCGATGATGGGCCCCCCCGTCCTTGCTTTCAACGGCGCAGATTGAACTGGGCATCCAGACATTTAGCGGCCGCCCGGGATGTCAGCTTTTCGTGGCCACACACCGGCATAGGGATCCCCAAATCCCGGGACAGCTCGAGGATTTTTCCCAAAATGAGAGGTTTGAGTAGGTCAGGCTCCGTCTCCGGGTATGCGGCCATGGCCAACTCCAAGACAGCACCCCTGTATGCCACCGGCGACTCCTCGGGTGCTCGCTGGCGTTGGGCGAACCGGCGATGAGCATCATCCGGTGGCTCGTATGCATCTGCCATCTCGTCGAAAACTCCTCTCAACGTTTTCTTCTTCTCGGCCTTTATAGAACGGAAGAATCGTACCGACTCGTCGTCGAGAAGAGTCGGTAGAACCTCCAATGCATCAGCGTCAGTCCACCTTGCAGAGCGCACCGCCGCCAAAAATCTGCAGGCGAAAGCACTCCAATCGCCACCGATGGAGAATTCTTTAACGGTTGTGAGATGACGACTGCGACTCCTTGTTGCGCCGTCCTCAGCAGATGACTCATTACGCGGCATATTCAAAATGGCGTCGCATCGCAACGTGTCCAAGATGGCGGTCCCCCGCCGCGGAGAGCGCAAGATGGCGGCTTCCCGCCGTTCTTCCCCTGCCATGCCCAAAATGGCTGAACATGATTATGTGGCAGATGGCGCTGACAGCGCAGGCAAGGCGGCGGCCTGCAGACCACCATCGGCCCTCCCCAACGCCGTCCTTGGCGTGACGAGCTCGCACAATTGCGCCAGCACGATTTTTAAGGTCTCCAGCTGCGCCGCCATCTGTCTCCATTGTAAGTCCGCGTCCTCCAGCGCGGACGGGTCCACCGACGCGGCGACATCTTGTACACCCGGACCCGTACTCATTCCCGCACGGATCTCCTCTTCCATCGCAGGCAGGTCCACCGCCTGAGGAAGGTCGTCGTCGTCGGATGATGTAGCAGATGATGGCGCAGGAATATTCTTTCTTCTGAGCTGTTTTGACATGCCGTTTCACTTCTGACACCAGTGTAATAAAGGACTCTTTCACTGTGTCTGTCTTCGTTGTCCTTTATTGAGTTCTTTACACTTGTCCCACACGGCCCTCGCTCAGAGCCTCCCCGCTTGGCAGCTCGACAGCTGCCGTCGCTCCCGTAGCCTTTCTCCACTCCGATGCAGCTCTGCTGCAGATTCCCTTGTGCAGTCCTTCAGCTGCTCTCACTGCAGCTCCACCGCTGCTCCCCGTTCCTCCCTTGCCTGGTCACCGCTGGCCGACGGTGCCGAGTCTTACCGCGTGGCGATCTCGCCACTCTCCACTCTCCGCCCTGCGTGGCCTCACCCTGTCTCTATTCCCATACTCTCCTCCCGTCTCTTCCGGTTCTCTCCCTTAAGAGCTCACCCCTCTCTCTCACGTGACCTAACCCCTCCCCCCGTGACGTCATATCCGCGAGGCCGTTTACGCCCGCATTACACTTGCACAAATATTGATGTGCCGTTCTCCTGAATGACATCCATCACTCTTTCCAAGTATGTGACGAAGTTGATTGGTGATAGTGCATCTCCCACTTACATACCTATTGTTGTTGGGATCCATTTGACCTTTCACCTACATCCTGCAGAATCTATAGCAGTCTTTTCCCTACTCCATATGATGTCACTGTTGCCCACGTTATATCTTGCTTTGTCGAATCAAATGCTTTATGGAAATCCACCACAATACACGCCACTTATTCACTTCCAGTGGATTTGAAAAGGGATGTAAAGTATTATTATACTGAGTAATCTTAGTGTAACTGTTTTTCAAATATGTTTAACTTTGTTACTTTGTAAAAATATGTATTTTGTTGTATTTATAAACTTGGATTGGTTGGTGCTTGTGCAGATTCAACATCAACAAGAACAGCTCCGTGATTTTAACGCTGAAACTGGAAGCCAATTCCACAGTGGGAATCGGAATGTTTGGTACAATTTCACTGGTAGTGCAGGGAGCAAACTCGACGTCCAACTTCATAGTCACTCAAGCCGAAATTATAAAGGTAATAATACTGGACAGAAAAATCGCGGCTCGGCCGACCTGGCCCAGCTGCATTTTGCATTTAAAGAGGACTATGCGAAATAAGTTATCAAATAAATCAACAAAGCCTCCCTCTGCAATTATAGAAGCACGTGGACTACGTGGCTGTGGTGCCAGAGCACATGGTTATATTGGACTCCCATGCACGATGTAAAGCTCTATGTTTTATTATCACTCATACCCAGTGCTTTATTTTATTCAGTCTTTATGTCAGTTGGTTTAATTCCCTCAACACCTGTGTTTTTGTTTTTTTATTATTTTCATTCACTCAATTTTAATGCTTCGAGATTAATGCCTATTGATCAAACTTAAATTTATTACCAGGCATTACCAATAGATCTCCTCAAGGCAAGTATGTTTGCCACCTGTCTTGGTTTTCTCATTATCATCATCTTTGAGGTAGATGCCCTGATAAATATGCAAGTCTTCCCAAGACATGTAAAGTCCCGCATTTTTGTCAGTTGCATAATAATACCGTGCTCAAGAGTGCAAACTGTATTGGCAAGATGTGATTCATGCCTTTAAAATACTGTGACGAGAATGAGATACGGCAATAATACTATGAATGGTTGGTTAGTCAAAGTGATTTAAGTTTAGTGTTCCATATTTGTAGGTCCAGTGAAATTCATGCAACCTCTATTTGCCATTTGACCAGAGAGCTAGATGGTAAATAAAAAAGTGTTTCAATGACCAAGAAGGGTAATCATAAAAATATGAACCAGGGGTTTTATACATCACCTGAAATGCTAACGGCAGTTATACAATTTCAAACTCAAACAATTCAAAACTCCCCTACCTGACATGTTAAACCATATTATTATTACACCAAACCCTTGTCAATCGCGAATTACGTTTGAAAATAGCCGCAATTGGCAAATCTGCAAACTCAAAGACAAATGTTAAAACTAGGGTTTGGTTCACGCTTCGTAATACGACACTCCCTAATTTTTTATATTTTTTTATGCAAAATACGATTCATACTTAGTACAGTGTTAAATATTACTTTTACAGTAAATGTATAGAATGCGAAAAAATAATGTAAGATAAATCTTGGACGGCTGAATTTCACTGCCTTCTCACTGGACCTGTGATCCACTATGGGCTGTGTGGGAGACGATATGGAGAAAATACGGCATGTGTATTCCTCCACGGTAGCATGATTGCAAAGTGTACAGTTAGAATACCTGTACAATACTTATTTACAATGTGTACAGGAATACCGGGGTCAACCGCGAATGATTGAGCCTTAGCGGTGCGATTGGCGAACTATACATGACCTCAATAAATATGGTGCTAATGGTCAAATCCGCGATGGGTGTACATACTATAATGAGAGCAACATTTTACACATGCCAAATATGAATTTATTGTTGCCCAGGTTCAAATCATAACATTCACATTTGTTTTTGTATCAACACAGTACAATGATGATGCGTGGCCTCTATGCGAAACTTTGGTGAAAAACAAATGCAGCAATATGACTGAGTATGCCAAGTGCCGATCCAATTTTTGGAACATAACCATCGGTTTTTATGACACGGGATCAGGAATTAAAGCGATTGATCCTCCTGGCCTCATGAATGGCACCATTGGTGTAGATGTGTGGAATGAAACTTATTCCGGAGACTGCTGCAACACAACTCTGAGCATCAGCGTTACGGACATGGCAGGGAACACGCATATATGCGCCTATGACATGAAGGTACTGTGGAAACTGCACTCAGAGATATTAACGTAAGATGTTAGCTCATATCATACATATTTGACAATTTTTATTTTATGTTTTATACTGCCTATTCGTTTTGCAATAATATATATTCTGAATCCTCCATATTGGAAAGTGATTTAATATTAACTGATTCTTGATCAATGGTCGAGTTCTTAACTTTTGTCTATGACATTGCTGCCCTATGTTAATTATAGTTCAATAAATAAAGTAAGTCCAACATAATCATGTTCAGTGTAAACTAAATTCACCGTTGTTATATATAGTGTGAGCTGGTTAGTTTAAACTAGGCATATCATTTTATTGACTCACTCTAATTATTCAACTGTAATTAACACAGGGCAGCAGTGTCACATTGGTTGGTGAACCTCACTACAAAACGGGCTTCTGTGTTTAATTCCTGGCCACAGCTGACATCAGTGGAGGGATATCTGAACTTGATCCATCTCCCCTCAACACCCTCACCCCACAAGTTGCCAAAAGTCATGATTTATGGTCAAACAACCCCCATTAATTAAAGGATGAGCAGAGAAATAAAATGTTCAACCACATGGGTTGAAGCATGCGAACATATTTCCATTCCATTTAACGTATATTGTTTTTTTTCTCTCGGTATCGGCACAGTATGATGATGAGTATCTTCCGACCTGCGAAACGCTGACCGAAACAAAATGCCCCAACAAGCTTGAGAACGCCAAGTGCGAATTCAGAACGTGGAACGCGACCATCCGCTTCAATGACACTGGGTCAGGAATCAAAATGATAGATCCACCTGGTGACATGAGCAACAACGTTGGCGAGAAGACGTTGACCAAGAGCTTTTCCGGAGACTGCTGTAACACAAGTCTAAACATCAGCATCACAGACATAGCAGGGAACACACGTGTGTGCTCCTATGACATGAAGGTACCGTTGAAACTACACTACCATATATATGATGTTACAGTATATACAAATTACATGCTATATTGAATTGGCCTAAAGGTGTTAAGAAAACTGTCTAGTCAATGGTCAGTGGAGAGATGAACTTTACTGTACAGGAAAACCTCGGCGAACGCAGGGGGTTATGTTCCTAAAAACAATCTGTGTAGGGTAAAACTATGTCCGACAAATAATTGACCACATGTGAAAAAATAGGTTGTGTTCCTGGCTCCGAAATTATGACCCAATTCCTCTGTAACTTATTGTATACTAGCTTTACTACCCGGCTTCGCCCGGGACTTGGATTCACCACGCCCGGCCGCCTTTGTCTCCCCAGTGGCGATGTTCACACACCACACCAGTTACTCGTTTGAGGCTGAGTCGACCTAGGGGAGACCCAGGATCGGTTCAAATAATCGTCACCGGTGGTGGCCGTGAGCGGGAATCGAACTCGGGTCGCCGGGTTCGTAGCGCAGCGTGCTAAGCACTGCGCATGCGCGGGTGACATGACAGATGTGATCTCACAGCTCACTTGCCGTGCAAAAAATATCCATTACCCAAATTTTTTGTTTTACATGGTGTACAGTCTGAAAAATACCCACATGGCAAATTTCAAGTTTGTTGCATGTCGGGAAGTACGCTAAACATTTTGAACAGACACACATCATCACAAATTTACCTTTTATATAAGTTGAGTGGCTCTTGACGACTCGGAGACGGAGGTACAGGGAAGGGCTTCCGCCGGTGTTTATTTAAGGGCTTACGCCAATAACACGGGGTATAACACTTCCCCCAGGGGTAAGGGGTCCTACACTCGGACCCCTGACTCTGTCTGCCCCTTAACACAGCGGGCTGCCGGTGCTGCCTCCTGTGCGCCGGCCGAGGGCTCATCCAACTCGGCCGACCCAGGAGCGCAGCCACACCTAGCTCTTACGCTGACAAACTCCTATCCCTTTACCCCTGGCTCTAGCTTCCACCCTTCTTCGTTCCCTGGTTCCAGCCACGACCCCGTTGATGTCACGGTCCATCTGAGAGCGAGCCTGACGTCACGCCCGCCACTAGTCCTCTACTTTACACCCCCCCTGTGAAAAAAAAAACAGCTGACCCGGCTGCAACCATGACGAAAGCGGGGCCCGGTTCCGGACGGAAGGCTCACAACCCAAGGGGACACATGTGCATGAAGGCTGCCAGAACGGAACCCCGACATAAGGGCAGCATGGCACAACAACAAACACAACTAATAAGAAAAAGAGAACGAAGGCCCCCCTTGCCCATAGCAGTGCCGAACTGGCGCCGAGGGCTGGGGTCCGATGACGGCAGGCCAGTCCATCACCAGAGCCGCATTCCCCTCGAGCGGGTATGCGCTGCCGGCCCCCTCTCTCGTGTGGCGTCGGGCGACAGTGCAGGTGGCTCGTTAGCGGGCGACAGGCCCCCCGCCGGGGCCTCCGGTGGCCGAGGAGCCTTTGCAGGCGTCACTTGCGAGGGCTCTGAGGGCACACACACAGGGCGGACGTCGCCTCCGTCATCATGACCCGGGTGATCAGGCACGTCGGATGAATCACCCGCCGGCTGCTCCGGAAATGGGGATGGATCCACAGGGGTAGATCGCACATAACGTTTGAGCCGGGACAGGTGCGCTATCCACTGCCGGCGACCGAACCAAATCCGAACGCACTGCGGCCGTCGGACCTCCACAACCTCAACGAGGCCCTGCCAAGGGCAATGTAATTTGGGAGATGTGCCAATGGGAACCTGGGGACAATGCAGCTATGCCTTCTGGCCCGCTACCCACGGGAGGCTAGCTGCCTGGTGTTTGGGCCGGCGCTTCGTAGACGCCTCCCGGCTGGTAGAATTTTCGACATCGGCTTGCCGTGCCTCGCGCAACCGGTAGAACGCGACCTTCAAGGGGACCGGCACCGCCGACCCCTTCCTGGAGGACCTGACGTCCATCTGGACGTGCATCGGGGGCTCCGGTTCCCTACTATACATCAAATAAAAAGGCGAGAATCCCGTTGAGGCATAAGGAGCCAACCGATACGCCGCCAAGACCCCCGGGACGAGCTCATTAACGCGAGAAACCTAGTCTGACTGGGACGTGTTCATGTGGTGGCACAGCATGGACGTGAGGGTGCGGTTCAACCGCTCTACAATCCCGTCCGAATGGGGGTGGTAGGGCAAGATGCAGATTTTCTTGGTGCCAAGGATGTCACACACCTCCTTGAGCAACCTAGACAAGAAATTCCGCCCCTGGTCGGTTAGCAATTGTTCTGGCGCGCCCTTATCCAACACGTACCCCTGGACGAATGCCTTGGTGATAGAATAGGCTGACTGGTCCATCAAAGACCACACCACAGGCCAACGTGTGAGGTATTCGACGCCCACCAAGAGGTATTTATGGCCCCGTTGGGATGCTGTGAATGGGCCCAAAATGTCGAGCGCTACGAGCTCATTAATGCAAGAAACCCGGATGGACTGCAGCAGGGTCCGGTCCTGGCCAACTGGGGCCTTCCTCCGCGCACAGTCGTGGCAACCCTTCAAAATCAGCGCCACGTCACCCTCTACACCCGGCCAGTAATAGTCCCGTTTAAGGGTCAACAAGGTCTTGTGGTAGCCAAGGTGCATAAGCTTCTCGTGAATGTCTCAGGTTCATTTACCTCGAAGGCTAGTGGGCACAACCACGCAATAGAGTTCCAATTGGGCATCCCAACGCATGAGGAGACTGTCATGCACGACAATCACCGGGGCAGCCGACGCAGCAGAGCTCCGGGCCTTACGCCAAACGTGGCGTTGTAGCCTAAGCAAAGAGGAATCCTCCATCTGCAACCTGGACCATTCCTCTCACGGGTGTCCCAGGCCAAAATCCATAGGCAACGCTGTACCTGGAGGGGTGGCCGTGCACCCGAGAGGGCGTCCAGAAAATCATCCATGCGAGGAAATGGATATGCATCAGCCACCGAGATCTTGTTCAATTTATGGAAATCGACGCAGAACCGAAGACTCCCGTCCCGTTTCTTGACTAGCACAATGGGGGCACCCCAAGGGCTAGTGGATGGGGAGATAATGTCCGCCGCCAACATTTCGTCAACAGCCGAGCTGACATGCTCTTTTTCCGCCGGGCTATAGCGGTGGGAATTCGGTCGAATAGGGGCCGAATTGCACGTGTCAATGTGGTGTTCCAGAAGGGCAGTGCGACCTAGATCAAATTTTCTTTGGCTAAACACATCGGTGAATCTCTCGATGAGGTTGCGGAGCCTCTGGCACATCACGCCCGCCACCACCCCTCCATCCGGTGAAGTGCACTCGGGTAGAGGAGCTGGGGTCGCATGCGCTAGGACGGCGCCGGCCGGAACTACGATCGGTGAGGGCCCCGAATTGAGGACCTGTAAAAAAAGGTCCTGGCCTCCCGACACGGCCGTCAAAGCGCCCACCAACCCGTCCATCCTTGAAAAGTAACTGGAGGGGGATAGAAGAATACCCGTCTCCAGAGAGCCCAATTTGAGTGGTCTGTGCAGCCTGAGGGGTAGCAGGATTTGTGACCCCGGTGGATCGATCACAGCTGCCTTATTCAAAGCCCGTACACTGGCGACCAAGGGGGACAGAACGGTCGGCGATTGCAGAAAGTGAAACCGCCTCCCTGACAGCATTTCCACACAGCCCTGGTCGACGAGAATTGGAATGGGCATTCTGGACAAAAAGTCAGTCCCCAAAAGGCATGGCACCGCCAATGCCTTGGAGACCAAAATAGGCCTGACCAATTCAATCTCGTCAACCCGAACCGACGCCACAATGTGGCCCAAGATGCCCAAACTGCCGCCATTTGCCCCGTGAACCGGCTGTAAGGGATCCACGCTGCCGGGTAACAAATGGAAGATGGCCTCCAAAATGATGGTGGCAGACGCCCCCGTATCCACCAAGATGCATACTTCAACCCCCTGCACGCATCCTGCCACCGCCGAGGAGCCGGCAGCCACCGCCACCACCCAATGCGCAAGCGCATTCCAATGGCGGATCCATCTGGGCCACCCAGCGGATGACAACCAGCGTGCCAAGGGTGCACCCGACCCCCCAAAGATAACCCCATGATGAGGGACCCGAGCCCTGCTAGATGCATGAGGTGAGGGGAGCGGCCGTGCGAGTGATGTATCACGACTCGCCTGGCGCCCGGGGGCCGATGCTGACGAGGGTCCGGAGGGAGCCGGAGAGGACTTGCTGAAGGCCCCTGGAGCATTCCGGCAGCCCCGCTCTATGTGGCCCTGCTGACCACAGCGAAAGCAGGCCACTGCAGCAGCCACGTGAAGACAGGAAGGTCCCGCCCGCCACCGCTGCTCCAGCCGGCGACCACCCGCACCCCTCTCGCGGTGGTCGGACACCACCAGGGCCGCGAGGGTATCCACCGCCTGAGGGGCGGCCCCCCCCTCCGGCACCGGGGCCCCCAGGCATGCCGCCATCCGGGGCTGTTGCCGTAGAGAGAGGTGCGCTCGAATCTTCTCGGCCACCGCTAATGACGTAATCTGGCGATCGTTGGCAATTGGCAAAACGATCCCCAGCTCCCACGCCAGGTCAAGCTGCCTTTCGAGGGCCAATTAATCTAATGCCCTCCACGTCAGGGTACGCGGCCTCCGCCAATGCCAGGAGGGAGCAGTGGAATGCCAACGGCAGCTCCCCCTCCTCCCGCCGCCGTAGTGAGAACTTAAGCCGTGCACTGGACGGTGGTTCGAAGACGGCGGCCATCTGCAGATACACCGCCGGAAGTGAAGACTTATCGGCCGGCGGAATCGACTTGAATGCTTGCAGTGCCCTCTCGTCTAAGCAGGTCGGAAGGGCACGCAATGCTTCATCCATGGGCCAGCCGACCGACATATATGCCGCGTCAAACCAGTCCTGGAAGGTCAACCAGTCGCCCGAACGACGCGACGTGGGGCAACCGGCGCAGCCACTGGCCACTTGGCGCGGACCGCAGTGAGGACGCATCCCCAGGTGCCCCG